ACTGGGGCCTGTGCACACACATGAGCCTGAGGGAGTGTGTTTTTCCTTGGATCTGTTGAGTCTACTTAAAATACAAGATTTTGGCAGTGGCAATGTCTTACAGTGATAGGGCATTGACCCTGTCTCTGTACCTTGCTTGTGACAAGCTAGAGTGGTTTTGATGTTTTTGGGTGTTATGCCTAGTAGTTGCATAAGGGGATTCTTCTTGTGGGTTTGTCTGGAATAAGCTAGACGAGGAATGTCAAACATAAAGGCCATGGGCCAAATCCAGTGCATGAAGCTACTTCATCCAGGCTAAGCTGTCAGCAGGCAAATGGAAGTTGAGAGGCAGGGGCATGGCCATGGGGAGAATGGCCTGCTGTAGAATCCAGGGCCCTTGGGTCTGGTGAACAGAGCTTCAGTTGCCCTCTGCTTTGCGTGTCACTTCAGCCCTACCTTCTCAGCTGTTGGCCTCACCCCCACCATGTGGTCTGGCATAGGGCATGCAGCATCAGCTCTGGCTCCAGCATAGGGCACACAGTGTTGGTGGCAGACCCAGTTCTAGCATGGGGCTGCTGCCACCACCACATGTCTGGAGCTGGAGCTGCTGCCACATGCCTTGTGCTAGAACTGGAGCTCGTGACACTGCTGTGTGCCTAGATCTGGCCCACAAGGAGCACCTCAGTCCAGCCCTGGCCTGGGGCACGAGATGAGTTTGGACTCAATTTGGACAGCCCTGGACATTTTGGGCAGCCCTGGACTATGTGGACATTTGTATATCATGATTTAGATAGGAACGGTCCTTTCTTTAGCAGGGGGTTGGAGTAGATGACTTCCTAAGGTCTCTTTTAACTCTACTTTTCTGTGAATCTGTGGAATTGGGATGCTCTGCTAAAATAGGGAAGATGAATTTAAACATGTCCTACCATGAATTAAAAAAAATAGAATTATGTCTTCATAGAATCATAGGAAAGTAGGGCAGGAAGGGACCTCCATAGGTCATCTATCCCCTGCCTGAGGCAGGATCACCCCATCCAAACCATCCTATACAAACCCATTGTCTAACCTCTTAACAAAAACTACACAATCAACTCTGACACAACCACAAGGCAGAATATTGCAACCTGCCACAGGTAAAGCAAGGGAACCATGGCAGCCAACAGCCTGCTGCTGCAAAGGTTGTTAATATACACTCGAGATCCCAGGTAACTTGCTCAAGAAGCTTTATGTGCCAGCATCTAAATTTTTAATAAACATGTTGAACAGCACTGGGCTTTTACAGCCTTTTAAAGAAAGCATGAAAGATAGGGCTATCACCTCTTTCTCTCCCTCTTTTTTTTTAATCTGCTAGTGTTTTTACCTTAAAAATGTAAGGAAGGTCAGGCTAGACTTGCTTGTTTTTGAAGGAGGACCTCTTGGGAGCCTAGAGAATATGTATTGTGGGCTCTTTTACCTTGACAGAAACAGCAGAAGTGTTGCATCTTTAACAAATGCTTCTTTTCTCTAAAATGTCCACAGGTATTGGAGTTATATTAGAAACCCACTCCTGATTCTTCCCTCTTCCCTCCTAAAGGTTTACATATCTAGAAAATGAGTACTTGTAAACAGAAGGGATAACCTTCTCCACATTTGCAGAATGTTCCAGTTTCACAATTAATTATGTTAAACCAGTGCAACCTAGATATGCTTAAACCAATATAATCTTTGCCTAAATTAGAGTTCATTTAAGTGCACTTAGAGCAAGGGGGTTGCATCAGTTATCAAGAGTGGATTACATAGAAAAGTTCATCAACTTGACTGAATCAATTTTAAAAAAATCAATATCTTGAACCAGTGGTGCTAGTCCAATTTTTGGACCATGGGGCAGATCCAGCCCATAGAACCATAGCTTCTGGCTCATAGGGCTCCCTAGGAGTCTGAAAATTTGGTGGCAAGGGAGTGGAGCAGCCTTAATTGCTGCTCCCATACTGCCATATTTCTGGGGCCAAAGCTCTGAGCCAGGGATTCAGCCTGTGGACTGGAACTGTGCTGCTCATGTGGCCCACAGGGCCAAAAGATTATGCACCCATCTTAGTTTCTTGCGTGATAATGTCTATAGTCTTCCAGTTCTTAGAGATGTTTATAGGGTCAACCAAACCTACGTTTTAGGGTGCAGTCAAGCTCCATTTCGGTCAATGGGTAAACATCCATACCTGAAGCACCCCTCTATCTTGTTTCTTTATTTTTTATGGAAATCTTTTGATCATTCTTTAAAAATAATAAAAAAGGAAAAAAGATGCAAGACCAATTCTGTTATCTGTTGCAAACCACTTTTAACATACCTAAACTACAGTATTGTATGTGTCTCTGTGTGTGTGTGTGTGTGTGTTTTTGTATGTGACTCTGTGTGTGTGTGTGTGTGTGTGTGTGTGTGTGCGCGCGCGCATGCTTCTAATCATAATTAGGCTTTCTTGTCCTCCTAGAATACTGACAATTGCAGGGTCCTGCACCTAGGGAGGAGGAACCAGCAGCATACCTACAGGCTGGGGAACTCCCTTCTTATCAGCACAGAGGCAGAAAATGATCTTGGAGTCCGTATAGACACTAAGATGAACATGGGCCGCCAATGTGGGGACACAGTCAGGAAGGCTAACCGTACCTTGTCATGCATCCACAGATGTATCACGAGCAGGTCCAAGGTGATCCTCCCCCTCTGTGTGACACTGGTTAGGCTGCAGTTAGAGTACTGCATCCAGTTCTGGGCACTGCACTTCAGTGTCATATTGAATGAAATAGTTTGAATGTTTGTAAAGGTTGCCCATTAGCCAGTTTCAGGAAGAAGATAGGATTTATCTCCTTATCTAGCTCATTGTTTCGGAGCTACGTGCGAAATGTCTTGACTTCACTTAAAGCATTCAATATGACAAGTAAGATCCGAGCCCAAATTTGGGAGTAGTGACAAGTTGAGTAGGAGGAGCCCACTGACGTCAGCTCGCTCAATAAAATGTGTAACTTCCTGTCCCAATTTGGAGGTGACTTCACTTGCAGAACAACGAAGGAAGAATCGCAAGTATAAGTTCAGATTAGATTGATCGCCTAATCAAGCCTCTCCGTGAACACGAATCTCTTAGTTCACGCTGAAGCCGCGGAGCGCCCGAAAGGGACTGAAGGAAGGGGACGTAGTCCTATCACTGGTGAGCCCAGCTCATTGAATCGTATTGCTGAGGCCAGCCTATTGAACCGTACTACTGAGGCCAACCCATTAAATCGTACTACTGAGGAATGAAACCATATTTTGGTATTTGGCTTCTCGGAATTCTAGGATTGTAAGTATATTATGAAAAATAACAGTATTGATTCAAATTTAACTTTTAGTTGTAATTGTAGTTGTTTTTGTAACACTAATTCTTATAGCATTGTTTGGGAAGGAAGTGCATTTGGAGCATTGTTTCTGATATATGTAATTATTGTGTTTTTAATGTTTGTGGTGTTTCTTAAAGCTAAGCAGTGTTATATACGTAGCAAAGAGTTTTAAAATAAAATTGTGTTGTATAAATTAAGTGTGTAATCATTGTGAAATCGTGCAATCAGCTAACTACTCCCCCAACCAGTGCATCAAAACGAATCAGTAAATTGTGTGGGATTTTCTCTTTTCCATAACCCACTAGAGACATTCAGGAGGGATGTGGACAACATGGAGAGGGTCCAGAGAAGAGCCACCTGCATGATTGGGGGCAGCAGGGCAGGCCCTACAAGGAACCTGAACCTGTTCAGCCTCCACAAGAGAAGGCTGAGAGGGGATCTGGTGGCCATCTATAAACTGGCCAAGGGAGACCAGCAGGCAATGCGATAGTCCCTGTTCCCCCGAGCACTACTGGGAGTAACAAGGAATAATGGCCATAAGTTGACGGAGAGTAGATTCAGGCTAGACATCAGGAGGCACTACTTCACAGTCAGGGTGGCTAGGATCTGGAACCAACTTCCAAGGGAAGTGGTGCTCGCTTCTACCTTGGGGGTCTTTCAAAAGGAAGCTAGATAGACACCTAGCCAGGGTCGTTTGACCCCAGTACTCTTTCCTGCCATTGCAGGGGGTTGGACTTGATGATCTGCTCAGGTCCCTTCTGACCCTACCAACTATGAAACTATATTAGCTTCAAAATTGAATGTGTTCTTATATAGATTTCAACCAAAATTGCATTTGTGCCTTCATAAATATAGACAGCAAACTGAAATATAAACATTTCATTCCATCCTGATTGAAGTTTTGTCACTTCAGTGCAAATATATTAAAAAAATCCACAAAGATAAACCTATTGAAAGAATGAAACATCTTTTCAGGAGACAATTTACTACAGACAATTCAGGGTTTGTTTGTTTTTTTGGGAGGAGGGGGGAGAAGCGATTGGTTGTGTTTTTTTAAATAAGGAAGAGAGGCTGCTTACAGACATGAAAAAAATGGTGCTTTACATTCAGCTTGGTACACTTCCATGCCAAGTGCAGCGCATGCACAGAAGAGGCATTGTGTTAGTTTGACCTGGCTCGCCCAATGTCTGTATAGATCGCTCACTTCAGCAGGGTTTTTTGGCACTTTTATCTAATAGCTGATTGAATCAGCTTAGAGGAAAGTGCCAAAAAGCCCCGCTGAAGCACCCAATCTGTATAGACACTGGGAAGCTGAGTCAAACTAATGTGCCTCTTTTTCTGTTAAAGTGTGGAGGGGGGGTTTCATGTCTGTCAGCCCCCTTAGCGTATGGGGTTTTTGGAGGCTTACGACTTCATTTTATTAAAACAACCTTATTTATCCAGGGTTAGTTTCTGTGTAACTGAGGTACCTACTGATTAGAGAATTGTAGTTGAGAGCAAGAAAACTTTGGGATACATATGTCTTTAAAATACCTCAAGAGTTGAAATCTAGAAAGCAAAGAGCCTGTTATAAACAGCTGCTTGTGACTAGAAATGCGTGGGCTGCTTCTACACACCCTTACAAAAACTAGCACAACTTGCTAAGAAACAGGAAGTTAAATAACCCTGTCTCCTTGCAGATGCGTACAACCCGCAAAGTATCCGTGTGGCCTGTGGGCCTAGTGGGAGGACGACGCTATGAGCGCCCTATAGTGGAAAATGGCAGAGTTGTTGGCTGGTACACAGGTTGGCGACCTGACAGGCCGTTTGCCATTGACATGGCAGGTAAGGACTGATAAAATGCTTCTGCATGATGCACAAATGTGTTATGCATATATTCCATGTCCTATTTGCAGTTTTGAACATGGCAGTCAGTTGCTCACATGTAAACCTTAAGATATGTGCAACTTTGAAAGTTTTAAAACTTCCTAGTGGAGTTCTTGATTATATAGGTAGGAATCTTGTAAAACAGAAGACCTTTTTAAAAGGCAGTTTTTGCATATTGCTTTTAATTTTAAATACCCCACAAGTCCTAGGCTGCACATGTTGTCGAACAGTTATTTGCAAATACCCCAAAATAATTTCAGTTCGTTTAGTTTTATGTGGTAATTTAGCATTTAGTTTAGATTTAATTGCTGTTCTGCAAATGAGTTAAATTTTTTAGGAAGCCTGTCTTCCATGGGGTGTTCTACACAGTGTAAGTGTATACCCTTGTTGTAAAATGCTACTATATCATTAAATGATTCATTTTCTGTTGCTTATGTGAAATGACAAGGATAGCTGTAGATGGATATAGTTTGAAACACTGGGTTTAGGGGAAAATCACTGGCAGCTTCAGCCTAGTAGATGAAGGCAGAAAAGCTTCAAAATTGATCTCATCAATCTTCAGTTGTGAAGTCAGCACACCACATAGTTCTGTCTAGCTGTCAACCCATGCTTGGCCAATCTTTTGTCTATACTGGGCGTGTCTACACATGCAAATAATCTGGGAGCAGTTTATTCTAGAGTAAAGTACTCTAGACTAAACTCTTCTGGGCACGCATCTACATGTGCAGAGATGCAGGAGCAGATTTGCTGCTCCCGCTCCCTGTGGCCCTGTACCAGGCCCCTGCAGCCCAGGGGCTGGCAGGGAATATGGGGCCAGGAGATTGCTCCCTGCCCCCGGAAGCTGCGTGCTTATCTCCCAGCCCAGGTCCCACAGTCACAGGGCCTGGGCTGGGAGATTCTTACTTTCACCCTGAACCTTGCAGTCTCAGGGCTCAGGCTAAGAGATAAGGATCTCCCATCCCCAGCCCTATGATCACAGAGTGGGGGCTGGGAGCTCCCTGCTCCCCGCATCTTCCCTTTTTCTCTGCCAAAAATAAATCAGTAGTCACTAGAAGACAGTAGGGGATTAATTTACAATACTTTTAATGCAGGGACATTGTCCCCACCCAGGCTTTGGTGGTAGAGCCTGCCCTGGCAGCAAGCAGCTGCTGGGGGCAGGGAACAATCTCCTGTCCCCTGCTTCTTGGCTGACTGGGAGCACATTTGCTCCCGGTCAGGTGTCTACACGTGCGCTACTGCGCAGTACATAATATAAAGTAAATTTGCTACTTGTATTTACAGGTAACAAATATACTCAAGATTAGAGCAAATTACTGTGCAGTAAGCGTCTACATGTGTAGACCACGATGCTTACCATGCAGTAATTAACTCTAATCTCAAGTAAAGCATCTTGTGTAGATGCGCCCACTTACAATGACTGACTTAATCTCCAACACATAAAATTCTAACACTGGAGGTAGCAGCAGTTGGTCTCCTAGCATAGCATAATCATTGTACTTATGTTTGTATTCATTTCTTTTGCATATTTTTGTCAATATCCTGTTTTTTCTGGAAGGTTACAAAGGAAAAAGGTGATATAATATTAACACACATTTTTATTTTGTGGGGTTCTGAGCGAGTGTATTCTTTTCATAAGAACATTTGCAATAAAATATTTCAGGCTTATAGTTTGTAATATTTGGTGGAGAATATGAACGTTTAATGTTTATACATGGTAAAAGGAAACTAATGCTGGTTAGTGACACCATAGAGACGGTGATGTTTTGAAACAGTAAGTGATCATCAGAAAGTGATGTCTTAATGCTAAATCTAATGTGTAGGATCCTTTCCAGTTAAGGCTATTAATTGGCATTAAAATGTCTGCAGTAGAACAGTTTATGTTGAGTATGGTGGTAAATGCATTACTCTGCGTGAGAGCTGAGATTAGGGAGAGACCTGGAATTCTCAGTCTATTAGTCAGTGCAGTCTGATTGTCAGAGTGATCTTGGGAAGCGCTACAGCTGCATATGCTGAGTAATCATGCCCGTAGATTTATAGAGATGTATTGGTGTTATATTGTGGAGGTGGTGGCTCCTGGGCATTCAAAGGATGAGAGTATGATGTATAATTTATTAGCTACAGGCAAAGGCAGTTATACAGCATTAGCCCAGGGAATCTTGCCCTTAGGTGAAGATACACATGAAAAGTTGATGAGTTACTTTAGCTATACTTTGCAGTCATTGCCTGGCATATAAGGGGACAATTTGGTATTGCTACCAGTGAGATACATGCTCACATTCTTGGAAGAAAAAGGCATAGAATTAAAGGTATAGAAGTTGAGAGAATGTGAAATGTTGCTCATTCTGTTAAAATACACTGCACACACAGCTTTGTATGAGCAAATTCATTTACATACATCACATATTTATCTGAGGGCCAAGTAAAACCTTATTCATAATTATTATTTTGCTAAAGCAGCAGGTAGACTTTCTGCCTTGACTGGTAAATGTTCAGGTCAGGTTTGCTTCATCATTTTGTCAGGGAAACAAGATTGAAGAGGATAGACAGTAATAGTTGAATATGGAGACAAAATTGAGTAGATATTTGCAAATGAGCGGTGGACATTGCAAGTATTTTGACCAGTATTAATGGTCAGTTTCTCAATGTTGTCACATCTTCCCTTTTTCTCAGCCAAAAATATATCTATAGTCACTAAAAGAAAACTGGGATTAATTTACAATACTTTTAATGCATGTTGTAGTATACTACTGGAATTCCTTATTGTATTGGCACTATACTTGGTTCAAGTGTCATACCTTGAGCCATGCATTTTTGGAAATGATTGAAGATAGTATTAATTTTTCTTCTGAAAACAGACAGTTCCTCAGATTCTGCATTTGGACATGATCTGGCCAGCATTTTTCATTTACTTTATTTCAGTTTACCTGAAGTTTGAGTGATTTTTTTAAATGGATACATTCTGTACTTTAGGATCTGGGGCCTGATTCAGATCTGGTGTAAATAGTACTTCAGTGGGCAGCTGCTTCTGGGGGGGTCTAGGGGGGGTCAGTGGCATGCATGCATCCCCCCACTTTTCACTCAACCGCACCATGGGAGAAAGAGTCAGGGATGTTTTTCAAGTCCCTAAAGCGCATCAGAATTATTTCCTCTCCGCTGCACATACCCTCCCCTGCCTGCTACTCTTTTTGACTGCTGCAGGCAGTATGGGGGTGGAGATAGGGTGGCAGAGCACCAGAGCTGCTCCTGCTGTCTGCAGCTGGGCTCCATGCAGAACTGGTTTCAGCCAGGAACAGTGGCAACAGTGGGTTGGTTCTTCCTCCCTGCCTGGGTCCTTTGGTGTTCCCTGCTGGCCTGGGATCAAGTGTTAGGGGCAGGTAACCTGCCTCCTGCTGCTGCTGTCCCTAGCCAAGCCTGGCTCCATGTGGTAGTGGGGCAGGAGCAGCTCTGAAACTTTCTGCTTCCCATCCCACACCCAAATCAGCTGGGGACAGCAGAAGCAGTGGGCAGAAGAGGGGAGAATGGAAGGGGAAAGGAGGAATTGTGCAGCTGAGCAGAGAGGAAAGGAGCAGGGAGGGAAGAGTCTTATCTGCTTGAGGGAATTAAAAAAGTCCCCTGCTGCCACTCCTGCCTGCCTTAGTATATGTATGTATGGGGGGGGGGGGGTGGGGGCCCTGCGGGGCGCCCTGTGTTTGTGTGGTTTGGGGGGGGGGGGGGTCTGGGACCTCAGGTGCAGCCACACTCACGCACTCCCTTTCTGAAATCCTGGATCCACACATGACTGCTTCATATCAGAGCTGACTGTTTTTAGACTGTAACATTCCTGAAATCTAATGGTGACCAGTTTCAGTACTTCATACTAGATCAGTTTTGCTTCCAGCGCTGCCATCGCAGCCTCCTGGCCTGAGCACAGCTTGGCCAGGAAGAGCCCGGCACTGCCCTGGCCCCGCGTGCAGATCCGGGGGCAGGCGCCCCTTCTACCCTCCTTGGCTGCATGACCCCCCTCCCCATGCCCCCTGGATGAGCCGCTTGCGACTCTGTCCCCTCCCTGCCCCAGCTGTGCAGGCTGCCCATTGGGGCAGGGGGGTGATTGAGGCCTCAGTGGTGAGGGAGAGAGTGGGGTAGGGCTGGGGCCTTGATCTGCCCTGCCCCCCCATGGCCCTTTCCCCTCTCCTCTCCCCTCCCCTCCCCACAGACTTACCTGCTGGGCAGAGTGCGGGGGGGAGTAGATCTTCAGTTCCTCTTAAATTCCAAAAGTCATCTCCGACATAAAAAGGTTGGAGACCACTTCTGTAAATGGTCCTTAAAGGGTTTATTCATTATGACAGTGGCTCCCAACCTTTTTAGATAGCGGACTGGCAAACTGCGGCCTGCAAGTGACCACGGCCTGCAAGTGATCGTGGACCACGGCAAACTGCGGAGTGGAAGAGACCGGCATACTGCGGACTGGCAGCCAGCAGGTATTTGCTCAGTATAAAATATACTAAGTATGAAAAAGGGTTGGCAGCCGGTCCACAGTATGCTGGTCACTTCCAATCCGCAATTTTCTGGTCCATGGTCACTTCCGGTCCGGCAGCCAACCCTCCTGTGGACTGGCAGCCAACCCTTCGTGGCCCAGCACCGGCCATGATCCGGGCGCTGGGAACCTCTGTATTATGGTAACCAGTATTTGGAGTCGAGATGTCATACCAGCAGACATGACTATAAGATCACAATTCACTGACTGAATTTTTCGCTTTCATATCTGGTGTTAAATGCCTTCTGAATGAGTCTAACACTAACATTCCTCTTTTCTTTAGAAGTGCCCCAGGTCTCTGTTTCCATACAACATCTAACCAGTCATTCATCAATTCACTTGACATCCATTCTTCTTCCTGGCACTTAACCACTATTCCTAGTGGCAACTTTTCTTTTGGAAGAATTTTGTGTTTCAGATCATAAAGGATGGCAATTTTCTTCTA